CATAAAGTAAGAAAACGTTCATCCTGAGGCAGAGTCTACCGAAAGGTAAAATATCCGGCCGAATTCTCTGTCGTCTGAGTTTCTACCACGACTGGTCACACTCATTTCGCCTACAGTGAGTATTTCAACTTCAAACCTTAACAACTTGAGTACAACAGCAAGAAGGACATAGCGACACGACTATTCAGTCAGACCGTAGTAGATTTTAATGTCGCACACTTGTACTGAAGAGATTTCGTGTCCTCTTCCTCATTGAAGCTCATTATCTTACAGTGGCAAAATAGATAAAAGGGCAATTTATGTCAAGGAGATTTCCGAAGGTTGAAAAAATCAAAAGTTTAGTGGGGTTTCCCTAAGTTGGCCGGCTCTTACCTTGACGCGGTCACAGTTGGAGCCAACAAGGCGATCCTGTAGGGTGAAAGAGAGACCATGCGAAAGGAGACAGTCGCGTTCCATCTCGCCCAGACGCACACCACCACCCACTTTGCGACCTTTGATTGGTTGACGTAAGATGGGGTCAAAACGTCCCTCGGCGCGGACCTAAGGGACAAATAAAAAAAATGATGGGTGGGTGAGTAAAGGTGCGATGTAACATAGAGAAAACTCAAGCATGAAAATGTTCCGTACGTCTAACAGACGAGCTAGACTGGAGTGTAGACTTTGTGACGTGTGGTGCAAATGAGGCCAGTTTTTGACCCATAAGTATATAATTCCAGGAAAGTCTATCGCCAAAGTGGTTGAAGGTTAGTTGAGGTGCTCGTGCTCACTTCCAAGTCCGGTAGGGGAGTCAAGAAAACGCACTGATAAGGGTGTGATAGAAGAAAAACAGAAAATTGATGCGCGACCCTTAGATGGCTGGTTTAACATTCTTCACACACCATAGTTCGACCGTCGTATCCAAGGGGGTCTACCGTGTGCCCCCACAGCAAGATGCTGTAGGGACGCTAACTCGCGCTTACAATATATTCTAGTGAGTATAGACTTGCCCTGCGTCTAGCACACCCTGTCTTCCTCCCCAACGACGACGCACTCCAAGCATATTCTCCCAAGATTATAATGTGCTTTTAGAAGAAGGCCCCTATCGAACTAGGAGTTGCTCAGGGACATCGCTACAAGGCCACAACCGGCATTTTATTTTCACACATGTCCATACTTGTAAGTGTGCTATTTGTCAAACAGGCATCATGAATAGGTTTCGATTTATCCGTTGTATACGCTGTGCTGGCCGCAATCAGCTTGTAAACAGAGACTTGTCAACATAAGGTCATTTTCTGCAAACTAGATGAGGAGTCAGCGATTTGATCTTGCCTCCTGACATTTAGCGGCGGGTTCGCCTCCTTCAACAACTGCCCATTTTCCACATCCAATCATACTAAACCAGCTAGCCAGGGAAGCTGGGGTTAGATCATAGACATTGTTATCTGGCGATCCTCTGAAGCCTTCCTTGCAGTCCAAACAGGTTAAAATAATACAGTAGTCGCCGGTTATTAAGCCCACCTCGGGCCCAGACCAAATTG